GCTCCCAGGCCGTCACTGCACGTAGTCAGTCTGGCTCCCGGCCCAACTCCGCACATAGTCCGGCTCCCGGCCCGTCTCTGCACGTAGTCAGTCCGGCCCCCAGGCCGTCGCCGCACATAGTCAGTCCAGCTCCCAGGCCGTCGCCGCACGTAGTCTGCCTCCCGGCCCGTCTCTGCACGTAGTCAGTCCGGCCCCAGGCCGTCGCCGCACATAGTCAGTCCAGCTCCCAGGCCGTCGCCGCACGTAGTCTGCCTCCCGGCCCGTCGCGGCCCTGTGTACAGTACATCTCACACACTGTAGTCCAGCTGGCAGCTCAGCACCTCTGACGCACGACGCTTCACAGCATGTTGCCCAGTTATTAGGCCTTCACCATCGCCCGGCGCAGTCCACGGCACACACTGTAGGCAGTCCAGCTGTGAGCCCGTCGCAGCTCTGAAGCCCCTGATGAACTGACTTCTCACACCGTATAGTCCAGCTCTCCATTTATTACTGAGTGTGCACTAGCCCTTGCACGCGATCCAGAGAAAGTCAGCTGTCAGCCAATCACCAACTGAGTGTGCGAGATTCACACACCATCTAGAGTCAGCCGGCTGTCAGCTCGGTGCGCTCTGTTCACGCACTGGATCGTCCAGCTGTCAGTCCTGACCAGCTCTGAGCGTCCGGTTCTCTTCCCACGTTCTCACTCCCGCGCCCCTCAGAGTCCTGGCTGGTTGATTTCTGTAGTCATTGGGCTTGTTTTAAGTCTGTGGAGTGACTGTGCTGACGGTGCACTCCCGTACGCAGCCTCCGCCCCCTGTACTGTGTGCCTTGGTCACTGTGGTGTATCTGCCACGCTTACTGACCCGACGTCGGCACCGTCGTTACTAACTGAGCAGAGCTGTCACTCCCCCGGACGGATGTGTCTGAGGAGGCCCAGCCTCCCAGGGTTCTGGTTGCAGCTGTGAAGGAGACCCCAGACCTTCCTTACGGGGCGCCTCTGGAAGGCCACAGCTCCAGCCTCGGGGTTCATGGTGAGCAGGTTAACCAGGCACCGGTCTCAGCTGCTGATGGCGGCTGTTGACGCGGAGGGAGCTCTGGTGGCGGAGGACGGACCGTGTGCCGCTCAGGTCCGTCAGCAGCTGAGCCGGGATAGACGGGCAGTCTCCCCTAGTGCGGTACGGGCTCTAGACCTTGACAGAGGGTCGCTGGGTCTGGTGACGGGAGAGGTAACCTGTGTTGTTCAGTCCTGTGGGACAGTCGCATTGGTTCCCAGTCTTAGCCCCCCAGGGCTTCCTGAGTTTTGTTACGTGGCCTGGGAGAGGCGGCTTCTCGGCAGTGTTGACGGCTTTCCCAATGTCTGCTTGCCGTCCGCAGGTACATCAGCATCCTGGTGGAGCTGACCAGGCTGGAGGGCACACGGCACGGCCACCTCATTGCGGCCCAGATGCTGGACGTGGCTATCCGTGTGAAGGCCATCCGCAAGTTTGCCGTGTCGCAGATGTCTGCACTCCTTGACAGCGCCCACCTGGTGGCCAGCAACACGCAGCGCAATGGCATCTGCGAGGTGTTGTATGCTGCTGCCTGGATCTGTGGAGAGTTTTCCGAGTGAGTGGCTCCACACGGGAGGGCGGGCTCCCTGCCCCTTAC